TCATTCAAGTTGCTAGGTCTTTGGATTGACAATACCCTTAAATGGAACACCCACATTGACGAAATTGCAAGGAGGGCAAACAAACGCTTATTCTACCTACGAGAGTGTCGTCGAGCAGATCTACCAACTAATGTGGGTTTGACGTGCTATGAATCCAAATTAAGACCAGTTTTGGAATATGCGGCCCCACCAGAATAGAAGCCTGAAAATTTTGGGTCTACCTTCTGATTCTCTTCAATCTCTAGAACAACGTCGGGATAAACTTTCAATTCGCGAGTACGAGAAAATCATTAATGACGAAACACACCCATGCAGGAAGTACATACCAGACATGGTGACGAACAAGTATGACCTATATAAGAACACCAAAAACTCTTCCCGGAATTTTCTCATACACTAAAAGGCATGAACTATCGTTCATTCCCAGAACAAACTCATTATTATAGACAATATTTTTATAACTATTCCTACAATTTTTATCTGTACATATAACTACTAGCCAAAATTTGCATGCTGGTTGCATTCCGATTAACTGAGGGAAATCACGTTATAACATATATGAAAGGAAAATATAAACGAATAAAATTTAAAATACCTGCAGTTGGTTTATTCGAAGGCCGTAATAACCTAGAAACATTTAACGATCCAGCGCTATACAATTTAAATGAAGATTGTACAATTATAAGATTCAAGTTTTACCAAAACCTTTTTTTTAAATTAATTTCCCATGTACAATACAATTATTATTACATTATTACAAAAGAAATATTTTAGCTAGAGAACCACTAAAAACCTTCGCAGGCTTTTGTATATCTAGGCCACTAGTCATGTTCCTATTTAGATTACTTTATTATTTACAGTAATTATTAAATGGAGATAATAATGCAGAAGAAAAGTTTTATATGGTATAAAAGATATTTACAAATTTGAAGTATGAAGGATAAAAACTGTAGTGTTTACGATATTAAGATAAAGAGATATACCATAGTTAGATTTTTATATGGTATTATTTTGTACAATGACAATGTATGGACATTGTCTGCATAGAGAAAGTGTGTTTTCTGAATCTATGTATTCGTAAATTGCTTAATTAGTTTCTTGAAGGTATTATAGAAACTTAATTAACTTATGTCTTATACAGATTTGTTTCTAATTTGTTCCACACATCAACTCCTTTATTTGAAAGAGTGTGTTTTACATAATTTGTTCTCTTATAACATTTAAAAAGTTTTGATGCGTTTCTCGTATTATGTTGATGAATTTGTTGTTTGTAACGAAGTAGTTAGTAAAATATTCTGGTAAATTTTTAAGACGATGATATCGAAACATAAATAAAGCAGTTAAATAATTAATTTTAAAAATATCTAGTATATGTAATTCTTTGAATATAGCCTTAGTATGTTCCAAGTACGACTTAAATGTCATTAGACGTACAATTGTTTTCTGGATATTCATTATTTTATTAATTCGGGTTTTGTATGTACTACTCCAAATTAAATTGCCATAAATCAGATATGGATAGACTAGTGCATCATAAATTAGTTTGACAGCATTTCGGTTTAAGAAATGTCTAATTTTAGCTATTATTCCGGGCATCTTTGTTAGAAGATCTAAATAAAATGAATTTTGTCTTTTGGATATTTAGAGATAATTTATTGACGTTTAACCATTCTGTAACTTTGTTAATTTCAGTTTGCAAGATTACATTAAGCGATTTAAGACAGCTGTTGCTATAAAATATATATTATAGTGTCGTCAGCAAATAATATGAACGAAACTAATTTGCTGCGCTGTTCAATGTCATTTATGTAAAGCAAAAATAGAGTTGGTCCAAGAATTGATCCATGTGGGACCCCGATTCAAATCACTATTTCATTTGACCTAACTTGATCGTATTTCACTATTTGTTTTCTATTTTTCAAATAATCTTCAAACCATAGTTGTGTTATTCCCCGTAAACCATAGTGTTCCAGTTTTTTTAATCAGAATCTTGCGATTAATGGTGTCAAAGACCTTTGACAAGTCAAGAAAGATTGATATAGTGTATTCACTTTAATCGATTGCTTGATAATAGTACGTTTGGATCTAACCACAATTATCATGTGTGTTACTACTGACTTTAACTGCAAGTCTCGGCATGCATGTTTTGGCATGCATGTTTTGGCATGCATGTCTTGTTGATTTTTTTGTATTAAGAACTGCATTTCTGTATATGTATGTTGCTCTGGTAGCTTGTGCATGATATATATGACATTTGGTGTAAATGCGTATCAAGCCTATACTCAGAGAAGTTCTCACTGTTAAAAATTTTGAAAATCCATAGGTCATAGAATGGAAATTGTATGGACCTTAAGAAAATAGAATGGATTTTGGTTATCCATAGTAATTGTATATTTCCATACAATGGATATAATATGGGAATAGTATGGATATACTATGGACATCGTAGTATGGATTTCACATTTTTTTCCAATGTCTGAGCCCTAACGCGAATCGAACCACGCGTAACCTAGCCTCTGATAACCGGACAGACGCTCTAACCATTGAGCTATATAAGGTCTATATACTGTTTCATTTTCTATACTGCTTATACAGTCGAACCCCTATTAAGCGGACACCTTCGGGACCTCGCCTAAGTGTCCGCCTAAAAGGGGTGTCCGCTTAAAAGGGGTAAGTAGAAAAACACAGCAGGAGGCAAAGGTGTGTAATTAGGTGTGTAATTTGAGTATCATCATGGCTGGCGGCTCACAGTCCTCCGTCCTCGTTCGTCACTTCCTCAATAATCTTGGCTCTGATGTCTTCGCGCCAAGTTGGTGTGTCACTGTCAATGGGCCATGTAAATTGATCTCAATTGTTATTTACTGTCGAATATTGAATACATTTTATCAGACAATCATCTGTCCGCTTAAGAGAGGTTGATTTGCCCATTGGGACCTCCAGAAAGGTGTCCGCGTCCGTTAAAGAGGGGTGTCCGCTTAATAGGGGTTATGATAATAGTATTTTATTAAAGAAACCGAATGGGACCTGAGATATGTGTCCGCTTAAAGGAGGTGTCCGCTTAAGAGAGGTGTCCGCTTATAGGGGTTCGACTGTATTATACTGTACATACTAGTTCTAATACTTTACATGTTTACTTTTCTGTAAACTTAAAATTATTTAAATATTTCTAAAAGCTTAAAATTAAAGTAAGCTTAAAATTATAATAATTTCAATAATTTTATTTGCGGTTAGCGGTCGTCTGACGATCGTATATTTACATTTTTCCCCTTTTTAAGGTGGCTCGCTAATTAATACAATCGCGAAAACAAAACGTTATGCTTTATGACCAAACCCACGTAACTATTCATGTCTCCGAGAATATTAACGACCTGACGTAGCGCCTTGCTCACGCCATCTCGCGCCATTGTACGTATTATTGCTGCTTATTTTTTCGTATAAGCGTAAAGGATATTATAGAAAAAATTGGTGCGAAATGGATTTTACATACGTAATTATATCACTAAGTGCAAAATGTACAACCTCGTCCACAGGCCGCAAAGAATACCCCAATATCGTACGCCCACGTGTATCCATTAGCAGGTTAGAAATTGAACCAAAATGTGAATGTCAGCAAAAACATGGCGCTATGCCTCTTTATGACTAGCTATCACTTCCTCCATTGTTGCCCAAACCCCATTCTAAGCTTGAACCTTCGCCCGTCTGAGATCCAGATACCAATGTCTCCAAATCAAACGTTGAGTCGAGATCAAAAGTGCCAGTCATAGCTACAAAGTAAAACAATTATACGCAATGAATGTGAAGCAGTTATGATAAACAATCTAGTTAAAATAGACCTCCTCAGCTTGTGTATACTAGTCATTACCCCCATCGACTTTGTAGGTCGTGTGGCGTTTACCCCTTTATCATGTACTCAGTCTTTGAGCATTTTTTCATTCATATTCAAATGTAAAATAGACTGGGGTTAATTAGAAGGGGGGAAGGGGACTAAATACAGGAAATATAGCATATAATATTCAGGTCGTTCTAAGAAAACTTGTATATTTTGAGATATTTATAACTTTACAGTACTTATGATTGCCCGATATTAGCCACCAAGGTTAATCAAGTCAACTCCACCTTAGAAAATCTTTGTCATATGAACAATATTCCCTTCCTTAAAAACGCTAATATTAACACTAGTCCACGGGCAATAGGACAGGTGTAGTGTTGTTAAATAAAAAGTTAGAAATGGTATTGTACTTACCCATGTATTATAATTATGTTTAGAAGATCAGAATATTCATAAATCCTTATTTTGTTTCATAAATAGTTCTTTAATATTCGAAACAAATTCCATATCTGCTTCGTCTGCCATCGCCATGTTTACTCGTCCCAATCTACATGCTGCACGGCATTGCCGCCCCTCCTGGCAAAATAATAAGCAAGCGAGAAAAATTAAGGAGAAAATAAGAGGGTAGGAACATCGTTGTCATAAGCTGGATGCAGTGACACTTCCATATATGGCACAAACGTATCCATAACTTCCATATATGGCACAAGCGTATCCACGACGCGTTTTATAACGTTTTATTTGACGTAGGGATGACGTGTAATGCTGCTTCCCGCCTATGACGATTTGAATTAGTCATGTGATACAAGATTGAGAAAGCTGATTCGCCCAGAGCGATGAAACGCCCACGAAACGCCCACAGTGTTCCTACCCTCTTATTTTCTCCTTAATTTTTCTCGCTTGCTTATTATTTTGCCAGGAGGGGCGGCAATGCCGTGTAGTATGTAGATTGGGACGAGTAAACATGGCGGCGGCAGACAAAGTAGATGTGGAATTTGTTTCGAATATTAAAGAACTATTTATGAAACAAAATAAGAATTTATGAATATTCTGATCTTCTAAACATAATTATAATACATGGGTAAGTACAATACCATTTCTAACTTTTTATTTAACAACACTACACCTGTCCTATTGCCCGTGACTAGTCACCTCAACAGTAGAGGTCTCCATTTAAATAAATTAGGCAGTATATCCCTCCAAAACAATTTCAAAGAGTTTATAAATAACTTAGAAAATTGACATGATATTACGTTGTCTAGAGTTGCTAATTCAGTAAATAATGTTCAATCTAAGACTATGCAAACTACTTCTAACATTCAAAACCTGCTCTTGCCAAACAGGAGTGGCTTTAAACTTGCCTTACTTAATATCACCAGTTTAGTCAAACATATTGATGAGCTTAGAATCTATCTATCAAATAATGTGATTGATGTACTGGCTATTAATGAGACAAGGCTTGACTCTACGGTTGGTGACAACGAAGTACACATACCTGGATACGAAATTGTTAGGCGAGATAGAGATTCCAATGGTAGATTTGGCGGTGGGGTTTGTTTTTATATTCGTAGCTGTATAAATTTTTCAGTTCGGCATGATCTATCTTTTGAGCAATTGGAAAACCTGTGTATTTCAGTTAATAAACCTAGAGCCAAGCCTTTTCTTATTACCACTTGGTACAGGCCTCCTAATTCGCCTGTAGCAATGTTTAATTATTTTGAAATTCTTCTAGGTATGCTCGATTCCGAAAATATCGAGTATTACCTCATGGGCGACTTCAACTGTGATTTGAGCTCTACAGTCTTAGATCATGATTCGAAGTCACTCATGGATATTGCCGATTTATATAATCTTTCTCAGCTTATAAATGAACCTACTCGAATCACAGACTCCTCCTCAACATTGTTAGATCATATTTTCACAAATACTCCTGACAAGGTTGTTTGCTCTGGTGTTTCTCATGTGAGTATAAGCGATCATAGTCTTATTTACGCCTTTCGGAAACTTTCTGTGGGTTCATCGACGGGGGTACATTCTTCAATAAACTACAGAAAGTTTAAAAACTTTGATTCTGCTAAATTTCGTAATGATATTAGTCAACAGAGTTGGAACTATATCAATCAGTACGAAAACCCTAATGACATGTGGCATGCTTGGAAAGCCACATTCAATTCTGTCGCAGATAAGCACGCCCCAATTCGAGCTAAGCGCGTTAAGGCTATTAAATCGCCTTGGATCACATCTCTTTTGAAAGATAAAATGCATAGGCGAGATGTCCTAAAAATTAAAGCAATTCGTTCCAACGATACTCAAGATTGGCTTTCTTTTAAGAAAATGCGTAATTTTGTTAATTCTGAAATCTTCTACGCAAAGCAGGCCTATTTCAAAAATTCTTTCAATGATAATAAAGACAATCCTAATAAGACCTGGAAGATCATTAATGAACTTACTTCTAAAAATAGGAAAAGCCCTCACATTGGCGAGGTTGATTTGAATGGCGTATTAATTAATGACCCTAGCAAAATTGCTGATGCGTTTAATGATCACTTTTCAAACATCGGACCAGACCTTGCGGATAAAATTAATCTTAATTATAGCAATCGGTCTTATCTTGATTATTTACCTAACCAAAATAATGCTATTTTTCAACTGAGGGAAATAAGTATTCCAACCGTTTACGCATTACTGTCCACGTTAAGCACTTCTAAAGCAACAGGTTTAGACAAAATATCTTCTAGGTTAATTAGAGAATGCTCTGACTTAATTGCAGAATCCCTCTGTCTTATTTTTAATCGTTCTATCACTACAGGCATATTCCCAAACGAATGGAAATGTGCTAAAGTTATTCCTATATACAAACAAGGCAAACGCAATTGCGTTGATAACTATCGTCCCATTTCTATTGTTCCTATTGTGGCTAAGGTTTTTGAAAGGGTAATTTATGATCAGCTATATATATTTATAGCTGAAAGTGAATTATTAACTAATTATCAATCGGGATTTCGAGGCCTACATTCTACTGTCACCTCTCTTCTTGAGGCTACCAACGAATGGGCTTATAATATTGACAGTGGTAATGTAAATGCTGTAATGTTTCTTGATCTTAAAAAAGCGTTCGACACTGTAGATCATGAAATATTGCTGAACAAACTTAATGCATATGGAATCAAGGGAACTGCGGGTAACTGGTTAAGATCGTATCTAAATGAACGTAATCAAAAGTGTTTTGTTAACGGTCATTTCTCCTCGAATCGATTACTACAATGTGGGGTTCCTCAGGGAACTATATTAGGCCCGCTTTTATTTTTGATCTATATTAATGATCTTCCTAATTGTCTAATACACTCTCGGGCACGAATGTTTGCTGATGACACTAATTTGACATATGCAAGTAATAACATACATGAAATTAATCATAATCTTAACGAGGATCTTGCTAATGTCAGTGAATGGTTATCAGCAAACAAACTTACTTTAAACCAGACTAAAACTGAATTTATGCTAATTGGCTCTCGCCAAAGAATAAACACTTTTCAATCTACTCCTTTATTAGTAATAAATAACGTTCCAGTTAAACAAGTCTCTCATACAAAATCACTCGGCGTACACATTGATGAGAACTTATCCTGGAATGTTCATATTGAGAAACTGAGTAAAAAAGTTGCTTCCGGTATTGGTGCACTAAAACGCATTAGACCTTATGTTCCTTTTACCACAATGCAACTTATTTACAAGTGCTTAGTTCAACCATATTTCGACTACTGCTCTGCTGTCTGGGATAGTTGCAGTAGTTATCTAGTTAACAAATTGCAAAAATTACAAAATCGTGCTGCCAGGGTATTGACATCTTCTAGTTATGATACAAATGCCGATTATCTTTTCGAAAGTCTTGGATGGAAAAATCTTGTATCTTAGCGTAGGCTTACCAAGGCTATCATGGTGTATAAATCCTTGAATGGTCTTGCTCCAGATTATCTTTCTAATATGTTTGTTGATCGCAATAGTATCACAAATTATGCATTGAGAGACACCAGTAACAAACTAGCTTTGTCACTACCGCGTACTAATTACTTGAAAAATAGCTTTAGTTATAGCGGTGCAGTACTGTGGAATTCTCTTCCTACTGAGTTAAGACAGGCTAGTACTTTACATAAATTTAAGTCTGACTGTAGCAACTTCATTCAATAATTTTTAAATATTTTATCTAATTTTATCCATTTAATGCACGGCACTCATGAAAAACAGGTAGTTTTGTAAATATGTATAGTATAATTTATCATATATCTAATTTCCTTTGTTACTTTATCATAAGTGTGTAAAATCCTGATGAGTCCACCGTGACTAAATAAAGTTCACAATACAATACAATACACAATACAATACTTGTGATATATGTACATGCTGTAAAACATTTAATAACATCAATAACATTACAGAATGAAAATTAGTTTATATATAGAGCATATGTGTACACTATCGTTAATATTAAAAAAACTAATACTGTAATATAGCGGTGCATGCACAAGACTTTTTTTTAAAAATGTGAGATTGAATGAAAAAAATAATACATTCACTGTCATGTACCGCGCGTCAGAAATGTTTTCTGCAGAATGTTCAAGTATTTGTTGTACTTATTATTATTATAAGTTAATGTCTCATCGATCATTAATGCAAGCGATTTTGTAACGTTAACTCTTTTTATTTGATTGTCGCCCAAAGTAACTGGCGGATCACTTTCGTTTGGGTTTGGTGAAGCCTTTTATGTGAACCAATAACCATGTATTCTGTTTTGTTAGCATTTAGGCTTAATTTATTTGTCTTCATCCAATCAGAAACATTTATCAAGTCTTCATTCAAAATGTTAGCAATCGAATCAATATTATTGCTAGATGTATCAAGTTGTGTATCATCAGCGAGCATATTGCATCTTGTATGTTCTAAGCAATTGGGAAGGTCATTAACGTATATAAGAAACAATAGTGGTCCAAGTATGGACCCTTGAGGTATACCGCAGACCATTTCCAGTGGGTGGGAAAGGTGATCGTTTACCCGACAATATTGCTTTCTGTTTGATAAGTAAGATCTGAAACCAATTAAGAGCAATTCCTTTTATCCCATAAAGATGTAATTTATGAAGTAGTATTTCATGATCTACAGTACCGAATGCCTTGTTAAGATCAAGAAATACCACCCCATTTAATTGGCCGACATCAATATTATGAAACCATTTCTTCGTAATTTCCACCATTGCAGTAACTGTGGAATGATTAGGTCTAAAGCCATGTTGAGAATTTGTAAGCATGTCATTTTTTATAAAATATTCATAGAGTTGATTATAGATCAACTTTGCCATTGTTTTTGCAATAATTGTGTTCGCCATCTTGGATTATTGAGGATATTGAAGAAAAAAAAGAAAATTGAAAAAATATTTGATTGAAAACAATTAGTGCATGTACAATTCAATAGGAGCTTAATTTATAAACAACAAATAATTTCTTTTGGAAAAAAAAAACAACCCAACTTTGTTCTGAATAACAATGAGATGGCCTCTTAATACACAGGGGGTCCAACTAAGAGCTGTGTTATAAATATGAATAAAAAATATTAATCAAACCATAGACAATCAAAGGAATGGACTGGAAACGCGAGGCAAAACGCTATGATGCGAACGCGTGATACGGGCTAGCACGTATCAATTCATCAGTTACCGTGGCAACTGGCCTGTAAAAAAGTTTAAAAAATGTAGATTTTGCATATATTTTTTCCCTTTTTTTTAACAAACGCAAAGGTAAAAGATATTTTTTGGCGGTACCAAAAGCAGAGAATATATGCCAAGGTGAGTACGTGTATATTTTTAATTTTCCCTATAAAAACAATCATTATAACTTCGGGTTTTCACAACGTTGACAAAACAATTACGCACGTATATTACATCTCTCCCTGTGTGGTTATATTTCGAACCCTGGAACTTGGCGACAAAGCTGTCACTTGTCTGCTAAGGCATATAGTTATGCTCTCATATGTAATGTTGATTCCACTAGGACGTTCACAAATCCCTGCGATATACAAATTTTGTAATAAATATATTTTTTAAAAGCTCACCTTGCGCGACTACGAAAAGATGTCAATTTTTGTTGTTCTAAATCCGAACCCTGTAACTACAGTTTTAAAAGAGTTTGGGATTTTAAGGTCACATATTTTGAACAGGAATAGACTAATGAGTTCCACTATCGCTTTTTTAAACATCTTTTTGGCAAAACAAACTCAAAAATCAATATTGAATGCGTGTGCACTGTCTTTGAAAATACAAATGTCGCTAATTTTGTTTTTCGAGTATACACTTATACTTCGAACCCTGTAACTACAGTTTTAAAACAGTTAAGGATTTTAAAGTCACATATTTTGACTTAGTTAAAGTTTAATTTGAATAAGAGGTGTCAAGTTAATGTAAAAATCGTTTGAACTTTATTGGAAGTATATTAATACAGTAGGTACCCATGCACATAAACACCAGGGCAATGGCGACATTTGTGTTGTCAAAAACAGTACGCACGCATTCAATGATGATTTTCGGGTTTGTTTGACCAAAAAAGAAGTAAAGAACGGTAGTGGAACTCGTGCTTGTTCAAAATAGGTAATTTTAAAAACCTAAACTGTTTAACACTATATAGTTGCAGGGTTCGAAATATGAAGTGCATACTTCGCAAACAAATCTGGCGACATTTGTGTTGTCAAAAATAGTATGCACACAGTCATTGATTATTTTTAGCCTTATTGACGCAAAAAGAAGTTTAAAAAAGCGATAGTGGAACTCATTAGTCTATTCTTGTTCAAAATATGTGACTTTAAAATCCTAAACTGTTTTAAAACTGTAGTAACAGGGTTCGAAGTAAGTGTATACTCGAAAAACAAAAATAGCGACATTTGTGTTTTCAAAGACAGTGCACACGCATTCAATATTGATTTTTGAGTTTGTTTTGCCAAAAAGAAGTTTAAAAAATAGGTACGCAATGCGTACATGTGGCTAGCCTGGTAAACTTTAACTCCCCAAACCCTCCTCCAAACCCAGAAAGCCTGCCATGCTGGTTAACTGACACACCACGATGGTCAGAATGCGCAAATTTTCTCCGACTTGTGCGGGCTCATTTTGTCAGTGGAGTTTCACGCTTTACTTGAATAACACTTGAATAAACACAAATATGTGAATTTGCACGCTAGGCTTTTGAATATAACGATTGTAAAAAGTTTCCGTGTGATCTATTAGCAATTTAAAAGATACCTAAACTGTAATACTGCCATATATTTAATCTCGCGTTTGTTATGTTTTTTGCCGTGGAATTAAAATTGCGTGTCATATGATATTTTAATAGGCAAATAGCGTTTGAGATATAGGCCTAGCAACATTAGCAAACAAATACACTGAAATCTTGGTTAGCACACCAACTTTTACCACTTTTAATGCAATATTACTAAACTGTAATTGTAATACTGCCATATAGATTTAATCTCGCATTTGTTATTTGCGCAACAGCAGTTTTGCCGTGGAATTAAAATTGCGTGTCATATGATATTTTAATAGGCAAATAGCGTTTGAGATATAGGCCTAGCAATATTAGCAAACAAATACACTGAAATCTTGGTTAGCACACCAACTTTTACCACTTTTAATGCAATATTAGTCAACTTATAAGAGAACGTGAGACAAATCATGCTGAATTATTCGACTATATAACTCCTAAGACAGACAGACGCAATAATCCTTTATAGGTTTATTACAAATATGTAGACATTTGAGACGCTGTCAATGTCTGAAGAAAAGGTATACTTAAAGCTTTCAAATAAACGAGTTCGATGCACAGTTTCTGGTCTTTTACCAAATTATCCAATGCTGGTTTTATTCGCTGCATTATAAACCTCCTCCAAACAATACCCTTCTTTAAAATACCAAACATTTCGAATGCAATTGAGATATGAAATCTCAACAAGAAGACAATTCAAGATGGCAAATGGACCGCAAATCAGTCAAAAGTGCAAATCAAAACCCATATTTACACGGCAAGTACGCGCAATTTCTGATCGGTTTCGACACCATAGGTTGAAGCCATGAAGATAAACTTTATTTTAATTATCTGGTTTAACAACCTCACTAGTACTGCGTCGTAACAACATCACTAGTATTGCCTCGAAATGCAAATGTGAAATGTCGGCAGAAAAATACGGGCGCTTCCGATTGCTTCCGATACTTTACGAAAATCCGGACTGGACACCATGATCATCATCGCTCATCGCGTTTGTGTACTATGTGATAATGGCTAGCCCGCAAACGGGCTAGCCACAAAAAGCGATAGTGGAGCTCATTAGTCTATTCTTGTTCAAAATATGTACCCTTAAAATCCCAAACTCTTTTAAAACTGTAGTTACAGGGTTCGGATTTAGAACAACAAAAATTGACATCTTTTCGTAGTCGCGCAAGGTGAGCTGTTAAAAAAATATTTATTACAAAATTTGTATATCGCAGGGATTTGTGAACGTCCTAGTGGAATCAACATTACATATGAGAGCATAACTATATGCCTTAGCAGACAAGTGACAGCTTTGTCGCCAAGTTCCAGGGTTCGAAATATAACCACACAGGGAGAGACGTAATATACGTGCGTAATTGTTTTGTCAACGTTGTGAAAAACCGAAGTTAGGGCACTACAAGTTAATCTTTAGTTTCTGGTCCGCCGCCCGCATCCTTTCTCCGTAAAGTATTATTTCAGGACTATTTTGTTGTTTACAATTAATTTCTAGTTCTTGAAAATTTTCGCGAAGGATTTAACTTATAGAACGATAAATATCCAATTTACAAAATTAAAAAAAAAAATTAATAGATCATTTTGATATGTAAATCCTTTGTAATCTGTCATGAATGTCGATTTATAAATAATATAAATGCAATTTATGTAAAATTTCATAACATTTTGATACAATTAGCATGAAAAGGGACAAGATGGACCACAAAAATGTGGGCAAAGCCACAATTGTAATTATGTCCTATAGTCCTAACCACCCGCCCGCCCGCGTCGTAAACGAAGGTAAAGCCGGACCAGAAACTAAAGATTAACTTGTAGTGGCCTTATAATGATTGTTTTTATAGGGAAAATTAAAAATATACACGTACTCACCTTGGCATATATTCTCTGTTTTTGGTACCGCCAAAAAATATCTTTTTTATCTTTTACCTTTGCGTTTGTTAAAAAGAAGGGAAAAAATATATGCAAAATCTACATTTTTTAAACTTTTTTACAGGCCAGTTGCCACGGTAACTGATGAATTGATACGTGCTAGCCCGTATCACGGATGCCGCGTTCGCATCATAGCGTTTTGCCGAGCGTTTCCAGTCCATTCCTTTGATTGTCTATGATTAAACGTAATATGAATAAAACATCATAACGTAATATACTTAAATTATTGCACTTACTTGTATAAATCATAAGAGCTTCCATTTACAGTGAATAGCTTCAAACAGGGCGCTTATATATTCTCAGAAACATTGCTTCGAACGATTGTTCAAATATGGCGAATAAATTGACAAAACGAAAATATTACATGACGTTCCAACGAAAATAACATCAACGATTGCGGGCACGCGAGCGAAAAGGCGAGGGAATATCATAGATATAGGAGATCTAGATTGCTAACGCATACCTAGCGCAGGCGGGGCCTACATGATAAATCCAAGATGGCGGTACAAGAGGGCAAAAAGACTATAGATTCTATTACGAAAATCAAGATTTTTGCATTTTTTGTCGTCGCATTGTTTTGAAACTTATTCGGTCAAATTTTATGGTAAAGAGAAACGTACCGCGAAGATTTTGAGCATATTTATGATTGAATTGGATGAAAACTCGCAAAATTATCCAGCGATAAAAGTTCGTGTGAAATGGTCAGTTGGTCAGTTGGAGCGTTTTATTGCCAGAAATACTGTGCTATGTTAACATCTAGTCTTGTGAATGGTGTTTTATACTTGCATCTTTCATCATCATCTGCTCTGTCCTCATAATTATGAAAAATGAACTGTTATGTACCCCCACCCCCCTCCTTGCTTGTTAGAGAAGTAAACTGATGAGAGCACTGGATAAGGGTCTATCATCTATGGTCTGGCGGTTATAATTTGCTTTCTATGCAAATAGTGAGCAAAAATTAAAGCAAAACTGTACAAGTTACATATATAGTACTATATCAGTACTATACACGAACTTTTATCGCTGGATAATTTTGCGAGTTTTCATCCAATTCAATCATAAATATGCTCAAAATCTTCGCGGTAAGTTTCTCTTTACCATACAATTTGACCGAATAAGTTTCAAAACAATGCGACGGCAAAAAATGCAAAAATATTGATTTTCGTAATAGAATCTATAGTCTTTTTGCCCTCTTGTACCGCCATCTTGGATTTATCATGTAGGCCCCGCCTGCGCTAGGTATGCGTTAGCAATCTAGATCTCCTATATCGATGGGGAATATATTCACCCTTCGCCTTCCGCTCGCGCCCGCAATCCTTGCTGTTATTTTCGTTGGAACGTCATGTAATATTTTCGTTTTGTCAATTTATTCGCAATAATTGAACAATCGTTCGGAGCAATGTTTCTGAGCATATATAAGCGCCCTGTTTGAAGCTATTGACTACAAATGCAAGCTTTTATGATTTATACAAGTGCAATACTTTATATATATTACGTTTGATGTTTTATTCATATTACGTTTAATTAATGTTTTATACATATTCATAACACAGCTGACAGCTCTTAGTTGGACCCTCTGTGCTTAATACAAGTCTTTGACTTCCTGAGGTCTTCTCGCCACTTTCAATTTGACATACATAAATATAAATATCTACCTAAATATTATTACAATAATAAATGTAAATAACTGAAATAGTCTAGGACAGATAATCTCAACTGTTTTAGGATAAGTTGACCATGACGGTCAACATGGTAACGCTGCCCGAACCCCAATCCGGGACGAAATGCCCGAAACCGACCACACCCAAAAACGACGCTTTCGCCATACTGCTATCTACCAAACCATACAAGCTTTGGCTATTCTGAAGTGCTTATATGGTTCAGAGATGGTGCATTTAGGGGTGGTCATTGGTAAAACGTCAATTTGTGGCATACAACTTCAGATAAACAGCAGTGGACCTATATTACCTTTTTTCCTAAATCTTTTTTATAGAAACATAATTGGTGCTTATTTAATTATATTATCACTGTTTTGGTGTAAAATGGTTAATATTTTGCGATCGAAATAATAATTTGAAATGTACCTACCGCCTGCAAATGGACGTATTTGGCCAAATTCTCCACTTTACTCCGCTGTTTATCGCAGATCTTGTTAAAATCTTTCCAAATATGTAATTCAGCTCAAACATACCGGTATCATGGATAATAAAATAAATGGATTGGAAACTTCTGACGTCATTGACTGCATCCTTGTTGAAAAACGTGACGTCACGCGTATTGCAAATGTTACCAAAGTTCTCGGCATACTTGTTGTTTAACTTGTTTTGCTATATTTTCCACTTTAAAAGGGTGATCTTGAAGCGTAAACTGGGCTAATTGTTTTAAAAACATGCCTAAGCCACGACAAACTATTCAAGGTAAATGTTTTTCGTCTTTGTTTTGTATTTTTTTACATTTGTAGCTACGAAATTGGCGTCACAAATTTTAACGAAATTTGCGATGTATTTTTCACTGTTTAGTGCTTGAAATATTTGCTAAAATTGACTGGGAATACTTAGAGTTTTCATCGTAGAATGGCGTGGTTACATTTATTTGCTCTTTGACTAAATGTTTAGCTGTATTATTGCTAAACATGCCGTTTTTGAGAATTTGATTTTCAACTAGGTTGAGGCATCCAACCACGCCATCAATCCCAGTAAAAACATTAGGTCACGTCAGCTAGTTTCCTATCCATTTATTTTATTATCCATGCCGGTATCAAGCACATTTTAAACCAGTTTTAACTGGGTTTCAAGTAGATCCTACCTGTTTAACCATCGACAAGGTAAAACCTCAACTTTGTCCAAATTCGGCGCCATTTTGTCATCCCGTTCGGTTGTGCACATTTTGTCCTCATTCTTCTTCCATCGAGGAAGGATAAGAAGTGATAATGACAAATTTAACCCTTTGTTAAGTCTATTGAAATAAAAATACAATAAAAAAATGCGAAATGCAGCATTTTATCACCCTGTAAGATGTTGCTTACAAGTTTTTCAAAACATTCCGTACAAATCTCGTGTAGCAAAGTAACAGGCATCTGACAGGGGGGAGGGGGGTTGAAGTCTTTCACGAAGGCTGCGTGAAATAAACAAAAACTAAATACAATGATACAAACGTTTGTTTTATTTCTTGTAGCGAGAAATAAATACATACTAATACCTGTAATATGAAAATACAAATTAAATGTTGATTGTTGGTTTTATCATTATACTGCGTTCTGCGTGCCTTTGCTTTTATTTTTTAAGTCTCCACCCCCCTGTCACGTCCCTGTTACTTTCCCACGCGAGATTTGTACGGAATGTTTTGAAAGACTCGTAAGCAACATCTTACAGGGTGATAAAATGCTGCATTTCGCTTTTTTTATTGTATTTTTATTTTAATACCCTTAACAAAGGGTTAAATTTGTCTTTATCACTTCTTATCCTTCTTCGATGGAAGAACGAGACCGAAATGTGCACAACCGAACGGGATGACAAAATGGCGCCGAATTTGGACAAAGTTGAGGTTTTACCTTGTCGATGGTTAAACAGGTAGGATCTACTTGAAACCCAGTTAAAACTTGTTTAAAATGTGCTTGATACCGTTATGTTTGAGCTGAATTGCATATTTGGAAGGATTTCAGCGAGATCTGCGATAAACAGCGGAGTAAAGTGGACAATTTGGTCAAATACGTCCATTGCAGGAGGTAGGTACATTTGAAATTATTATTTCGGTCACAAAATATTAACCATTTTACACCAAAACAGTGATAATATAATTAAATAAGCACCAATTATGTTTCTATCAAAAATACTTAGGAAAAAAGGTAATATAGGTCCACTGCTGTTTATCTGAAGTTGTAAGCTACAAATTGACGTTTGACTATGAGTATTTCATGGTCATTTTCTTGTGAAATATCATTGCTAGGCATTTCACACTTACCAATGACCACCCCTAAAAGCACCATCTCTGAACCATATAAGCACTTCATAATAGCCGAAGCTTGTATGGTTTGGTAGATAGCACTATGGCCAAAGCGTCGTTTTTGGGTGTGGTCAGTTTCGGACGTTTCGTCCCGGATTGGGGTTCGGGCAGCGTTACCATGTTGACCGTCATGGTCAACTTACCCTAAAACAGTTGAGATTATCTGTCCTAAATGAAATGCATACAAACTCATATACAGGTCCTCGACTAAAAGAAGTGGTAAATAAATTGAATTGTTAATTGTTACGTCAAGAGAGGGGTCACGTTAATTTTTTGTCTTGAGAGTAAGCGATCAATATGGGTCCAACACGGTACCCGGACATTTTGCCGAAAGACACTTTGCCGAAAGACATTTCCCTGAAAGACATTTTCCCGAACGGGCATTTTGCCGACGAACGTTTTGCTGAACCGGGACGTTTTGCCGAACGGACATTTTGCCGAACGGACAGTTTGCCGAAAATAGAGATGTTATTTCGTCAAAATGTTTGGGACTGTGACTCATTTCTCAACTGTATATAATTCTCAACCATTGCGAAAAATAACCATTATATGGTCATAGCAGTGCATAATGGGTCACTAGCAGTGCATAAAGGGTCACTAGCAATGCATAACCATATTGACTATTTGTAGCTTGTTTGCATGTGCAGCGGATGACTCATTTGTTAGGGACGTGTTTTGACGTCAGGTCGTAAACAACCAAGCGTGTATATAAAGACAACGCAAGCGAATTTCACTTCGAGAATCATGGAATACATTCACAGTTCTCGGGGAAATCGCATTCACGAATGATGTTGAATGATGTTATTCTTTATATCGCGAAATTTCGGTAAACTTGTCAAAAATGTGAAAGAATATAAAACGAAACTATATTTCACTACAAAGTTTCTGTCATCAAAATCGACAATGACTTTAATCACGCAAACTTTGACCGTGTAAGCGAACCTTTAAAGTTCAGAAGATATCTTTAGTTTCGGCAAAATGTCCGTTCGGCAAAATGTCTTTCGGCAAAATGTCTTTCGGCAAAGTGTCTTTCGGCAAAATGTCCGGCCACCGTCCAACACTTTGTTTCTGGTTGCTGTCTGAGATTTAGAAATGATTACAAACATTTCAAACAATTTTTTATTGTTACTCGGTCATTTTAGATAGTTAATGAGGTGAAGAATTAGTCCAAGATGGCGGACAACTCATTAATTTCGGTCTAAATATTTTGAGAGCTAAGCAAGATATGACAAATCGGTAATAGAGTTTATTAAGAGTTCTTTTGAATGAGACAAACTAATTTTTATCGCCAATGTCCTTTAACATTGCATATACGCGGATTACGCAAGTCTCGAAAACTGCCAGATCTGTACTTGACTGTTTTTGGCGAGGGGGAATTCCTTACACCCGCCTTATTTCTTGGTTCTTTTAATCAATATGGGCACTCAAGAATGCGATTGCTTGTTTGAAAAAAACTGTAAACGTTTTTTGAAGTTTATTGTTGTATAAAAATTACAAAATTTCTCCTGTTAAGTATGAATTAGCAACAAAACGTGTATGCTTATACGAGTGAGCTCCATATGCATCTCGAGTAAGAACTCGCGTCCAAAATGTGAAGCCAAAGATGGCGCAAAATGACGCCCAGTGCCAGTCCCTTTCTGTTGTTTATGTCTGCGCGGTTAATACAAGGCACAAAGAGTGTGGCAAAATTTTGTGCTCTGTCTTCGATTGAAATAATATATTATGGTTTTATGGGTTGGCAACTTGATTAGCGATACAATTTGTGAGATAGACTGGATTAATATGCAAACAGTTTACAACCTTCATAAGCACTGGACGTCAATTTCCGCCATCTTGGTTTCACATGTCTATAGTTCACTGGTTTTTACGTACATCTCACTGCCCGAGAGATGGCTATCCCTGTACGCGGATTTAAACGTCGCTTTTGACATACAGTGGTGCGAAATGTAGGAGTCCACTCCCATTTTCCCACAAATTCGAGAATTCATTTTGTCTTCTGAAATTAGAGTGACATTTGGTACTTGAACATGCGCATTGCGCTCTGCAATAGACCTTATTCATAATGACGTCACAAGGCTTGATTCCCGCAAAGAATGCTGGTCTTAGTGGTCATCGCCCGGTAAAATTTCGATAGTCGCCATTCTGAACTGTTTAATTTTCCCGGGCAATGACTACTAAGACCAGCATTCCTCACGGGCATCAAGCTTTGTGACGTCACTATGCATAAAGTCTATTGTCTCCCACAATTTGCCATAATCAGTGATAACATAAGTTAATCTGATCCTCTACACGCATGAACACCAAAGATGGCTAAAGACCTCAGTGAAGAAGTTAGGGGACAAGCAATTCCCCTGAGTAATAAAGGTTTTACACAGGGACAAATTGCTGCAAAGATAGGTGTGTCAAAATACAGTGCAGCGGGCCGTTGGAAGGTTCAGAAGAACTAAATCCTATTCCACTGCCTGAAGGTCTGGGAAACCGAGGTGTACTACATCACAGGAGAATCAATATACCAATTAAAAACTCCATGCCAAAAGAAATTCAAGCTACTTTATACGCTAAGGAAGGGCACATTAAATCCTGAAATTATATCGCTACTTCTCTAATTACTCGATTCCAAAACTAAAATTGAATATTGTTGTGATACAGTGCGAAAATATAGTACAAAATTAAAAGCATCCATTCAATACTGACTGGAAACAGTTTTGACACCCACTGTATGTGGCCATAGGATAAGAAAAGAAATATACCTGATGATGAGGATGTAGACGCACCAGGTTCATAAACACTACTGATATCAAAACCAGTGCCATCTGATGTCACACTACCTACACCCGCAGCAACGATCTCCGCTTCTATATCGAACGTTGGATCTAAACAAAATTGATAATAACACATGGTAAACAAGCCGGTAACCCAGTTGTAAAACTATCGTGCCTGTTACAGACAGAACTAGTTTTCTATGATCTTGATCCCAATCACAAACCTATCCATAAATCTATTGTGCAGGAGACATAGGAAAAAAACACACGAGGTCGTTGAGGCAAGAGGGCAATAAACAGTACAGTCCATTCAAAGACTTTAAAGAAACGTAATAATAATAATAATAATAATAATGACTTTATTTAAACTGGAGAAAAAAGACCATCAGCATATTTACAAGAAATAGCTGGTAAATATGCTGATCGGTCTTTTTTCTTCAGTTTAAAAAAAAACACATGAGGTCGTTGAGGCAAGAGGGCAATAAACAGTACAGTCCATTCAAAGACTTTAAAGAAACGTAGACTTCATTCAACTTAGACTTTCAAGGACCGCTACGAACACTGTCTGTAGATGAAAAGAATACTTACCCAATCCTGCGTCAAATTCATAACTATCCACAACATCAAGGCCACCTGGTGAGCTTGTCGCACCTCCCGGAAGTGTTTGAAAAATGCCTTCAACGTCGGTAACTCTCGATGGTCCAGAGACACCAGTGTTGACTGCACTGGGCAAAAATGCTGTATGTTCAACATCTATGAAGGAAACGGGATGGAGTACATCCATTGGTTGATCTCCAGGAGCGGAAGATATAAGCTGGTCTACATTACTACTTTGTTGAAACGGAACGGTCGATAACATATCACTAGTTTGAGCAGTAAAACCCCCCGTATCGAACGGGACATCGAACTGAGTTGCGACAGGTGTGTTGTCAATTACGGGGGAAGGTTCAAGTTTAATGTCCTTAGGTGTTTCGATGATATAGTTACTAGCAACTTTTTTGATCTTCATTCTGATAGGCGGTGGTTTCACAGGTGGTGGTTGTGGTTGTTGTTCCATTTCTTTGCTCGGGACTGAATTATTATCTTCGAGGAACTGTTCATTTTCTTTACCCTGGCTAGGTTGAAACACAAAGGGAAAACTGGAAGCCGAGGGTGACGGTGTTTGAAGCATATTCGGCAAAGTGGGTGATGGAGATAGGAGGGGGAGTACAAGCCCGGGGTTGGTGCTCGGGAGTATTGGTAAGGTATCCGGCCTTGCAATCATGGATGCGAGCAGATTATAAGCACTTGACTGTGGAAGGACTTGTCGAGAATGCATGTCCGGGGTTTGAATAAACGTCGAGTCTGTTTCGTCCACATCAACCACCATTGGGGTTTCATTGTTGGATTGCATCTTTCTCGCTTTTTTGAAAATGTATTTCATTGTAACTGGTATTGACAAACACCTATAGGAAAGGTCAAAGCAATGCGTGCTGTTGTAATTTTGCAATATCTGAATATTTGTACATCTGGGGCCGGTAGTATAAAAAGTAGTTAAATTCAACTATAGATAGTGTCAATGTCGGACATATGATACCCGATAAGTATTGTATGGAACATTTTTAGAAAACTTTTGCACATTGTGGCAATTGCTATACATAACACATCAAAGTGTTTTTTCTTTAATTTTTCTTTAAAATCAGCGATGGATAATTAGACTTCATAACTGATCTCTAATGTTCAACAATACAGTGGTCTGCACAATAATTGCAGGGATGATTTACTTGGGGGTACGGGGGGATACATAAGGGGGTATAAGGAATACAAAATAAAAATACTGTAGAGTAACATGAGAGTGAAATGGTCATGCTTTCTAGTCGCACCCTGATGAACACCTCCCCTTACAAGATCTGGCTGGATCCATCTCTGAATAATTGGCCGCAACAAATGAATGACATCCAGCATTTTCGTTGTTTCAGAGATGAGAACAACTTACAGTAACATTTCAGATGCACTTGCAGAAAAACAAAATTTCTGAATATTTCTACTGAAATGTTTGGAGACAATTTCTGGCATTTCACACTATAATTAGGATTATATTATTTCCTTTTTGAAACGCCTGGTTTCTTCTCTACTTACTTCTGTATAACCCTTGAGACGTAGCCGGAATCGTAAAATGCAGTTTTCCGAGGGTTGAACTTCACTCCAATATTACAATCTGGTTTCACTTGAAATTCAACTAAAATTTAACACAAAAACTAGAATTTAACATAAATAGTCCTAGCCCACAGCTATTATCCTCAGTATAATTTGTTTGTTGTTACTAAAATGCTTCAAAATTATTCGTAATGCGGACGTACCTGAAGCTAAACTTGAAGTAATGGATTCTTCAAATGTAATCACGACAACAAAAGGATTAGATGTGCTGACGTCAAAACATGGACCATCGTATTCTTCCAGACCTAAGTGGATACAACAGCACTCAATTTACAGATCAAAGCGGGAGCCAAAACAATGTGATATTGCAGACGCCATATGGGCTAAGCATAATTATTGTTGCTCGTTGGTTTTGCTGTTGTAGTGAGGTAATTCTACTACGCTCAGACAACATTTCTAAAGAGCCACCTTGGTGGAAATGCTGTATAATCCTCATGAAGAGCCACCATGGTGGCCATTATTATTATTTAACAATTAAGAAATCCTTCAAAAAGGAGTGATCAGAAGAAGAGATTTATAACCATATCTAGGTACAGTAGTTGGGAATTTGTAGAGGGTGCAATTTGATGTCATGGCATGACACAGTGCAGGCGCAGTCTGTTTGCATGCGTCAGCTTTGTTTACATTCTTTTTATCGAAATAATTAATTCTATAAACAAAGTGGTAACAACTATACTGCACATATTTCCCTGCTTCTGGAAAAAGTGATCAAGGAAACACGAACATGCATGGAACCTAGTTATATGTATGCATGTGTAGAACCACACGAACTGCATGGACCTCGTCTTACGGTTACAGAACACCTTTGAGTGTTACTTCTATCTAAAATTTTTTTATTGGTTTCCATGAAAGCATTAGACTAGTTCGACTATCTGACCAAGTTTGAACGAAAAATGTTGAAAACTCGCAGAGTTATTGAATAAAATACATTTCGCTGCAATAAGAAAAACATTGAAAATGTAATATTCAAATTCAATTTTCTCCCAACGAATTTTACGGTAATTACTGATTTTTAAACGAGTTGTTCTCCTGCGGGTTTTAACCAACTTTTCTCAAATTTTCGCAGGACATAGCTAAAGACGTCAGTTTCAAAATTGTGTTCGGCTTTTTTTTAATTTTGGATATTTTAATAATAAAGAGCAATTCACTCAAACAATTCAGAAATATATTGCAGTCGTCAAAGAAATCGCCATATCAGCGGAATGACGAAATAAACAAAAATTTCCGAACACAATTTTTTAAGGGGAATTCCTAGAGTTTGATGAGTTAATATGCCCAGAAAACATCACCATTATATTATAGAGGTTATGCGACTTAGCGCGGCTTTAGGCGACTTTTGACATCTTTAGGCGACTTGGGGCAACTTAAAGAGATTTTTTGTCCTGGAGTAAGCCTTATACTGTGGTTACGTGTTGGTCTGTAAAGTGTTGTCAGGTACAAGTCGATATATTTAATGGAAAGAGAGACAACGAGGAGAATGGCGACGATGTGTCACTTACCACTATCTTGTATGGTTTGTGAAGAGAGTACACTAGTGAGTATTTGATTGTATACTAACTGCTGTCGGAGAAGCTGAAAACGAGGAATAAAGAATGCGTTATTCACTACATAATTCGCGAAGTATTAGAAACTTATGATCTACAATTCTTTTTAACGAATATATTATGGAAAAAATTTTAAAAAGCGCAAATAATTTATTTAAACCATTGTACACACTTTAGCCGGAGATTTGATGTGTATAAACATCGCAGTTTCTCCAAAACTACATTCAAATACAACACAACTCGACGAAAACTTTCTTGAGGGAAAGGTAGGTGCTGCATGGAAACTGCATGGAAACTGCATGTAGGGTAACTGCATGCTCACAGCTTGCGCAAACCAGGTTAGGCCTCGTTCTATGGTGCGACAATTCGAACACTTAGGTATTGGAGGTATACGCAGATATTACGGTCTGATACATCTTTTTCCCAGCTATAAGTACATGTACTACGTATTTATTATACGGACAATGGTGTTTGGCTGGAAACTTAAACACTCGTAAAACTGATATGTCATTACATCCGGGGCTAAGTGCGCGTATTTTCCGTATTTAACGCTTGCGAGTGACATCAGTAGTGACATACGAAGTTCGAAAATTTCCCACCATTTTCATTGTTGTTGTTTTGTAAATACAAATGGTCTTTGGTTCGTATATAAAACGAAATTAGCGTTGGAAATAAAACGAAAACATTTAAAAGACATCTTGAGATAAGTAAAATTTATTCTAGTTTTATGTTTGCACTATCGCTTTTATACAGGTCTTTCGCGCGCTTACTTCTTTACTTCTTAATTTTGCGTGTATTTTTGTCACTCCGAATAAGTCCATATAATAAACAGAACATTAAACGGTTGCGAGAAGATATGGATTTATGTTCTCGTGTCAAAAACAATATCTCCCTGGTTCGCTGCGCTCACTCGCGATATATTGTTTTTCCCACTTGAACATAATAGTCCGTAACTCCTCGCAACCGTCTAATACCCTCTACCCACGCGACAATCTCACTATCTAGATGGAAATTTCGAGTGGGATTTTTATACAGTTCTATTAGACCTATAACCAGGAGCAGTGGCGAAAAATGCAATTATCGACCCACTGGCAGGAATCGAATCTGCGGCCCTTCGATTCCGGTGCAGTGTTTCAACCACAGAGACAGTTGCATGTCGAAATCCACAAACTTGTGGATTTAGTTCAACCAACAACAAATACACAGGGCACATCTCATATCTCACCCGGATTATCTTCACGACATTTTGACAGTGTGTGAAGGGAATTCTTGAAATAACTACACCAACATTACTGTTCAAAGACAAACTTCCTTGAAGATCTTTCTCTGAAATACGGTAGATATGTTTTTCTTCAGGAAGTTTCTGAAATAAGAAAAATATACAAAACATGCAATTCGAGTGCAATTTGGAAAAAACATGCACGAGCGAGTTTTTCAAAGAATATCAAATTTGAAGTCTTTCAAAAACTCACGAGTGTTGTTTTTTCAAATTTCACGAGAAACCATACTATTACTTATTAATAATATACATGAAAATTGTGCAGTCACGTGCGTAAGTCATATTTAAAAGTTAAGAAATTTTAATTTCTTAAAGAAAATTAAGAAATTTGAAAAATAAAAAATTAAGAAATTTGCACGGTATCTCTTTTTTTTTGCACTAGCTGTATTTCATTTTTTGGCACTGTATTTCGGAAAAATTGCACTGCTCTTAGCCAATCAGAATTGAGAAAGTTTTTCATGTATATTATTAGTTTTTAATACTTGTTGATATATCTTATATAGTTCTCTGAAGCTTTACAAAAATGGCCTTTTTCACTAAAAAGTACTGACCATCATGTCACTACGTGGTTTCTGAAAATTTCTTATATAGAATTGTGCACAAACAACTTATAGTTATCTGCCAACACAGAACTCAATTATCTGTGGGTTGAACCAGTGAACTCTATATAAATTCTGGAATAACTCCAGGTATAAACGGCCCTATGACTGGGCGAAGCTAAGATAGCGGACAATAGAATGATCTCTTCTAGGTATGACTAAGGTAATTTAATATTTTATTAAAGGAAACGTGAAAGGAAAACAACATGTGCCTGAACGATAATTTCGTAAACGTTGTTGGTCTTATAAAAGTGTGAATAAGGATTTTGCTACGTAAAAAAGCTGGTAAGAACGGTGATTATAAAAATTAAGTACCTTATTATAGGAAATTAACGATGCACTTTATTAACGCGACATCAAATTAATGCGGATTGCTTCTAGGTCTTTTAAAACATGATTATATTAACGCGAATCTGATCTCCATGGTTGACAAATTAATTAAATTAACGCGAATCAGAAAATATAGACACAACAACAACAAAGGTTTAATGTTAAGAGGAGCACTGATGTTTTTAGTTTACGTTAATATGCTGTATTTTGATATTAAAAGAGTTATAGTGTTATATAAAACAAATCTAGGTATTTTTAACTAACGATAAATGAAAATTACATACTTAAAATTAACGATCACATAAATTAACATTAATTAAATTAACGCGAATTTTTAAAATCCGCGTTAATAAAGTGCATCGTTAATTTCCTATAATAAGGTAACATCAGTTTCAAAATCTCTAATCTTTCAAACAAACCTGGCGGTATGCCATTTGCGCGCTATATTCCATGTTTCTTTCTTTGAGCCACTATTAATATATGGAATTATTGAGAGTCAAACAATATTAATTAATGACAGCACATACAGGGAAACTAACACATTGACAGACGAACTTCTTACCTTTTTTATGATTAGACAGTCCATGTACGCTTTAGAATTTTGAATAAATTTCTCTATATATGTATTAGAAAAACAGACAATTACAATAATTAATTAAATAGGGTGATATAAAATTAACTATTTCTATACTTATATGGTTGGACGACTACAGATAAATATAATGAGAATTAGCCTAAGGATTCGCGATAACTATAATAGACAAATTTGGGTTTTGTATTTTTTGGGCTTTTTTTTTGTGGCGGGGGGGGGGGAGTTATTTAAAAATATTGCAACTACTGTTTGTCCCAAGAGCACAAGTGCCCATCTATAGGGGGCTCACACTCCGTTGTTTACATCGCTGCTCCCCAATTTACAACTTTAGATAGCTCACATGCTCTAGTATGCAGAAGCATAGAATAGAACAAAAGTAACTGAGCATTATATAGAGGGTATGTATAAGAGTTATTCACTTATGCAGATAATTCCAAAGCTTATAGTTACCTTTGTTCTATTCTATGCTTCTGTATACTAGAACAATGATAACTAGGCATGTGAAATATACTGTATATATAAAATTGTGAATTGGGTATAAACAAACGTCAGCCAAATTTGTCTATTGCAATGTTTTAACAAACAAATATAATATAATTAAATACAATTACAATATAATTTGTTTATGCAAATTTAACGAGAATTTGAGCTGTCGTTATTGTTTTGTCCACAAGAGCACAACTGATGGACTTTTTCACAAAGACTTCAAACGCGAATAAACGCCTAATGTGGTTTCCTAAGTGACACGTTTTAGCGACAATTCGCATTACAAGTGAGGTCACATGATATTTGATATATTCTGATGTGTACTGGAAGTATTTGTATTTATTCATAAAAATTTGATGTGAAGGCTAAAGCCGCAAAGAGAATATTACTTGACTCAAGCATGGTTAGAAACGCTTTCAACCCACTTTAAAGGAAAAAGAAGCTAGAATCGTGATTGCCCTACTGGAGAATGATCATCTTATAAAAGTTATGTCTGCGGCGTATAAACAAGATTTCTATGGTGATCGAATCGTATGGGTGGCGTATTTGGTTCCTATATTTTTGAAACCGAGAACTAACTACAGCTGCAACGAAACCGAGTTTAACACAGTTGGTGAAGGGACGTTTGCCCCGAATATTCAGTATTCCCGCCTAATTTTGTTATAAGTACTGTAAGCCAAACTAAAGCAGAATAAAAAGCGCTGGAAAATTCTTGACTTATCCCGCAATCCATGCATGTATAATGAATACTCAGCGATAATGCTCAGCGTGTTTATCTAAGATATCTTTTCGTCTTTATGAGTTCATCAAATTTTTCCAATGTGTCTTTGTTTATCATGTTAATACATTTGAGTTACCTCCTTTAAAAGTTTCCAACGTCGAGTGAATCTTCTCGAGTATCGAGGCTGAAACAACCAGAGGTCTATCCAGATGTAAAACAAAGCTCGCTGGTAGTTCTTCACTATTTGTCTCATTGATTGAAAAGAACGGGTTCCTGAAATACAAATACACGCTCGTATTCAAAGTGTGTAATAATTGGGTCATTCTAAGAAGAAATATTTATTCCCGAGCGAAGCGCCGTTCCGGGTGAAAGCCTGGAGCAAGGGTACTAATTCCGCTCACCTATTTTTTGTTCCCGAGATATTTCAATTTGTTTGATATGTAAATGAGTGTGAATATGTCCGCTAATTTATGACGTCATGTTGGTTGCAAGCTCTTCAAAATGGTTGAATATCACTGCTATCATCCAAGATGATAATTTCAA